GTTTCATTTAAGTGGTTTGTTTATTTAGTTCATCAAATTTGACATAATCCCTTGTTGCAAGAAATCCAAGTGAAATAATAGTAGTCCAAGTTTGGTGTGTCTAAAAAGGCTTATAATAAATATTTAAAAGTACAAATATAGATATGATGATCATATTGTGTTGCTATGTGCTATAATGTCTTTTTATAAAGTTTTTTAATTTGGAAGATTTTGTTTTTATTTAAATATTAAATATATACCAAAGATATTTCATGATTAATACTGGATAAAATACAACAATAAAATTAATACAGATGAATACACCCTCCCACAAACACACACCCACACAGAAAAAAGTGAAGATTTTAAACCAACTGTGTATCTGATCCTATCTCACTCTCTGTGTACTCAGGAAGAAGTAATTTTGCTAACTTTTATGCTCATTTTTCAATTGCTTTTAGATGTATTACACATAAATATGTAACCTTAAACAAAATGCTATTGAGCTTTATATATCTTTGAATATTATTTAAATGGAATTATATATATAAATAATAGGTAGCAAAAATGTTTTCATTCCTTGTTGTGAAACACTTGGGTTGATTCCATTTATTGCTGTAATAAACATTTCTGTTGTGAACTTTATTATTCAAGTACCTTTACATTCATTTGTGTACTAGTTTGCTTCCTATGCATTATGTTTAGATTTTTAAAAAATTTTTAATTGCTTATAAATTAAAAAATGGGTTTATAAAATTTACATTTTTTTCCAGCAATGTATGAAATTTCCATTATGGTAATCTTTACCAACCTTTGAACTAACCAGAACTTAAACATTTGTTTGGCCGGGCGCGGTGGCTCAAGCCTGTAATCCCAGCACTTTGGGGGGCCGAGACGGGCAGATCACGAGGTCAGGAGATCAAGACCATCCTGGCTAACACGGTGAAACCCCGTCTCTACTAAAAAATACAAAAAACTAGCCGGGCGAGGTGGCAGGCGCCTGTAGTCCCAGCTACTCGGGAGGCTGAGGCAGGAGAATGGCGTAAACTCGGGCGGCGGAGCTTGCAGTGAGCTGAGATCCAGCCACTGCACTCCAGCTTGGGCGACAGAGACTCCGTCTCAAAAAAAAAAAAAAAAAAAAAACATTTGTTTGACTGGAGTATGTAATTTGATTTTTGATTTTCATTTTCCGCATTGTTGATGTTTTCAGTATAGTTTCCAGGAGGTTGCTGGCTATTCAGATTTCCTCTTCCATAAAATGACTATTTAAAAATTTTGCCCACTTATTTTCTATGTCATTGGTTGCTTATTTAAAAGAGTTCTTTATATATATTTTTATTAAAACCTTTAACACTGTTTATATATATACACACACACATATATATATATATTTTTTTCTAGTTGGTAGCCTTTCCGTTTTCTGCATAGTAATACTGATGAATTCTTAGTGAGACATATCAATCTTTTATTTAAAACCTCATGATTTTTTATTCCTAGGATTTCCTTTTTCATACTAATCATAAACATATAACCTGCAATGTTTCATCATTTTTTTTTTGTTTTCATGAGTTTTTAACACATTTAGAATTGCTTTCTCTGTGTGAAATGAAATAGAGATAAAATTATATTTTTATATGAATTAAAAGTAGCAGGGGCTGGGCCCATTGGCTCACGCCTGTAATCCCAGCACTTTGGGAGGCTGAGGAGAGTGGATCACAAGGTCAGGAGTTCAAGACCAGCCCGACCAATATGGTGAAACCCTGTCTCTACTAAAAATACAAAAATTAGCTGGGTCTGGTGGTGTGCACCTGTAATCCCAGCTACTCAGGAGGCTGAGGCAGGAAAATTGCTTGAACAGCCTGGGCAACAGAGCGAGACTCCGTCTCAAAAAAAAACCCCACACAAGTTCCCCTGGGATCAATCCATAAATATTTCTTTCCAAGCCCTATTACTCCTGTTGTTAAAGATTCGTGGTGCTTTTCAAAGTTTGAGGAAATTATAGCCTTTTGGCTTTGACTGCAGCAGAAAAGTAAATGTGAAGCTATGAAATCACTCAGCGAATTTATTGTTTTGACGATTAATATAATGTATTTTAAATGAAAAAACCTGCCCATTAAATATTTTTGTTTGTGCCTGAAATATATTGAGTTTGCCACATTGATCCATTAAATTATGCTATATAGTTAGAATAAATTTAAATTTTTTTTTGTTTTATAGTATGGGATACAAGTTTTTTAAGAAAGTAAATTAATACAGAAGAACATGAGTGATTACTCAATATGACATTTGTATCTTAGTTCAGCATTTGAGCATAATTTTATACTCAAATAACTTATAAGTGGAAGACTAACCACACTCTAACTTACCTGATTTTTAATAATTTTGCTAGCTTCATAAGGTAGAAAAATAATCACAAAATTTCTCTTTATATTTTACATAACATAGATCAAATTTAAAATAGTAACATTTTGTGTTTATTTTATACTACAATTTTTGTCTGTGATAAACTAGATGATATCTCAACCACTTAGAGAAGTTCATGCTGACTTTTATATACATTTTGTTTCAATATAAATTCTTGCCATGAATCAAAAGTACCTTCAAGAGAAAATGATTTGAACTAAACAACTCATATGATTTGGAAACACTTTTATTGTAAGCCTTTAATCTAAACTTCCTGACTCAAACAGAAAGAGATTTTTAACAGTCCACTCCATTATTATTTCTACTGGGTCCCTATCTTAAAATTGAGAATATGTATTCCCCAAAGTAAAATGTATACATATAGAAAGCACATATTTATCTTTAGAAAGCATTCTTCCTTGATACTTTTCTAGGGCTTCTTTTAGACTAAATGCAGGCAGTGATTTGTTTTTAATTTGGTGACAATATCTATTAAACTGATATCTGAAGTATTATAAAACACATTTTCTCTGTATTAAAATATCTATATTTTCTATGAGAGTTCTACTAAAACTATTAAGACAATTAGAATGGATTATTGTTTCATAGTACAAATTTGCATTTAGGAAAGAAAGGAAAACTAAAAATGTTGACATTTGACTCTATTTTTGTTGTTGTGGTTGTTGTCGTTGTTGTTATTCGAGTCAGGGTCTTGCTCTTGCTCTGCTGCCCAGAGTGGAATGCAGTGTTGAATCATCGCTCAACAGTCTCCACCTGCTGGGCTCAAGCCATCCTCCCACCTCAGCCTCCTGTACAGCTGTGACTACAGGCAGGTGCTCACTACTCAGCCTGGATAAATTTTTGTATTTTCTGTAGAGACGGGATTTTGCTATATTGCCCAAGCTGGTGTCCAACTCCTGGGCTCAAGCGATCCACCCGCCTTGGCCTCACAAAGTGTTGGGAATACAGCTGTGTCCGGGAGACTTTTTTTTTTATTGTTTTTTAAATTATTTTTCTTGCAAAGTAGGTGATACCATTTGACCCAGCAATTCCGTTATGGGGTATATACCCAAAGGATTTTAAATCATTCTACTATGAAGACACATGTGCACATATGTTTATTGCAGTACTCTTAACAATAGCAAAGACTTGGAACCAACCCAAATGCCCATAAGGATAGACTGGATTAAGAAAATATGGCACATATACACCATGGAATACTATGCAGCCATAAAAAAGGATGAGTTCATGTCCTTTCCAGGGACATGGATGAAGCTGGAAACTATCATTCTCAGCAACCTAACACAGGAACAGAAAACCAAACACCACATGCTCTCGCTCATAAGTGGGAGTTGAACAATGAGAACCTGTGAACATGGGGAGGGAAACATCACACACCGGGGCTTGTTGGGGGGTGAGGGGCTAGGGGAGGAATGGCATTAGGAGAAATACCTAACGTGGATGATGGGTTGACGGGTGCAGCCAACCACCATGGCACCTGTATACCCATGTATCCCAGAACTTAAAGTATAAAGATAATAATAATAAAAGATCCTGCAAAAAGTACCAAAACATGTGTGACAGTAGGGAAAGAAGTCTGAGTGGAATCTGTCTCTGATTCCAGGACATTTCACCTTGTATGAGTGGTGACGTTCTACTGATTGAGTCAGGGCCTTATTTCAACCTTCACACAGCAGGGGCTGCACACAAAGTAGCAGGGAAGAAGGACCTGTCACCTTATCTGCTCTGCGCTGTTACCATATCCCCACTAAAAAGAAACCTTACATTTGTTTATTAAAATGTGCTTCTCTGTGCATGGAAGAAAAAGAAAAAAATTAAAATCTAACATGTATGTGCATATTGGTAGGGGCTTCACAGTAGTTACTGCTTAGAAAGTGTCTCTCTTTAAACTTTCATCACTTTATTTCCTTTGAACATTTGCCTTCAATTAGAAAATTAATTATTTATAAAATTTTTGTTGGTACATAGTAGGTGTATATATTTACCAGTTCCATAAGATGTTTTCATACAATATGAAATAGGCACATGATGGAGAATGAGGTGTCCATCCCCTCAATATTTTATTCTTTGAAATACAAAAAAATCCAATTACATTCTTTAAATTTCTTTAAAATATACCATTAAGTTATTATTGACTATAGGCACCTATTGTGCTTTCAAAAAGTAGGTCTTATTAGTGTTGACCCAGTAGTGGATTTGCTGGGTAAAATGCTACCTCTGTTTTATGTTCTTTGAGAAATCTCCACTCTGCTTCCCAAAGTGGCAAGACTAATTTTCCATGTGTGGTTTACTTCCACATCTGTACATGAAGAAACATTGATTCTAACAAAATGTAATTTACACAAATAAGTAAAACTAAAATAGTGTAATCAGTTCAAAGTGCTTATCACAGCAAAATTTTATAATAAGACAGCGTATTTTCCAAAACCATCATTGTCACCAAACTCCTGCAAGGCACAGTCACCTTACCTGGACCCATCTTCTCCTCAGGCATCCCACCCCAGAGCTTACTATATAGTAGGAGACATGCAAATAGGGCCCTCCCTCTGCTGATAAATCCAGCCCAGCCCTGACCCTGCAGCTCTGGAAGAGGAGCTCAGCCCTGGGATTCCCAGGAGTTTCCACTTGGTGATCAGCACTGAACACAGACCACCAACCATGGAGTTTGGGCTGAGCTGGGTTCTCCTTGTTGCTATTTTAAAAGGTAATTCATGGAGATCTAGAGATGTTGAGTGTGAGGGGACATGAGTGAGAGAAACAGTGGATATTTGTGGCAGTTTCTGACCTTGGTGTCTCTTTGTTTGCAGGTGTCAAGTGTGAGGCGCAGCTGATGGAATCTGGCGGAGGCTTGGTACAGCCTGGGGGGTCCCTGAGACTCTCCTGTGCAGCCTCTGGATTCACCTTCAGTAGCTATGGCATGAGCTGGGTTCACCAGACCCCAGGGAAGGGGTTGGAGTGGGTAGGATTAATTAGAAACAAAGCTGATGGTGAGACAACAGACTACGCTGCATCTGTGAAAGGCAGAGTCACTATCTCCAGAGATGATTCGAAAAGCATCACCTCTCTGCAAATGAACAACCTGAAAACCGAGGACACGGCCCTCTATTACTGTCCGAGGAACACAGTGAGGGGAGATCAGTGTGAGCCCAGACACAAACCTCCCTGCAGGGGCGCGCGCGGCCACCAGGGGGCTCTCGGGACCCACTGCGGACAGGACCAGTCCCAGGAGCAGGTGCAGGGGGAGGTTTCCTTTCTCCTCAGCTGGAAAAAAAGTTAGGTTTGTATTTGCAGAACTCTGGAGCATTCTAGGCTGTGTTATTTTATTACTTGTATTTATTATAAATTTATTATTAAATTTTAGGAATTACTAAAATTCTGTATATATGTATCATTTAAGTATATACGTTCAAGAAATAAACATTCCTAATTATTTTCACTGATTCTTGCAGAGTTTTAGTAACATTTGTTGACATCAGCAACTATATAGCTATAGGGACATAAATTTATACTCATAGACATATGTGTAGACCAGGTGTGGTGCTTCACACCGTTCACCACAAAGGAATTTTCAACTCTCTTGGAAGTCGGGTTCATTTTCAAATTAGTTATTTTTTTCATTTCAATATCTGAAGATTATTGTATCTGACTATTTTAGCAGAAAGTGAATTATGGGAACTCGAACTAACCAACTGAAAATAAATTCACAACTAACTAAACAAGATGCCAGAATGTGATTGGCTCTAGGCTTTGTTAATTCAGCAGGTTATGTACCCAGGCTTTAAATTTACCCATATTCTTGTTTCCTTCATGGCACAGTCAACTCCCGTTATTTAAGAAATCGTGACTACATTCCCAAGGTTCATGCACAGTTATAAAAATAGACTGGGTGAGATGAGGAGTTGACTGTTTAAATTCCCCTCTGAAGAAGCAACATCAACTCAACAAACCACCTCTTTTCCCCCTGTGTCTAGAGCTATGTCACAGGCCACATGGACCTAAGTCCTTGATGAAGATAACAGGACTACATAAATTGGGCTGATCATTTTTATGCTATGAAATTAGTAGACAGCACTGCACTCCAGCCTGGGCAAGAGAACAAGTCTTTGCCTGTAAAATAAAAAAGAAAGATACATTAAGAGACACTGACTTTGACATTTTGGATAATAATATTTTCACGACCCAAATTTAATCACACCCACATTGTTACCTACATCTTCACTGAAAAGTTCCTAGTCATGCTGATTTCCATCAACATTCCACGTGTTCAAATCTGAACATCCAAGACAATCTGGAGAATAAAATACACTGAGGGCAGTGATACAGGTGTATATTCAGCACCTCTTAACTCAGGAGGACTCAATACACCCTGGCACACTGCTGCTTTTCTGAATGGCTCACAAGGACTCCAGCTCACTCTCCATCCTCCTCAAACATCTGGTCCCTGTTTGCCCTATGTTCACTCTCTGCTCTTAGTCTATGCTCTGAAGTCTTCGCAGAGGTGAAAATGAGCTGTCAGACGGAATTTACTATTTCATTTAATGACCACTCTTCCCATATGGTTGATTTCTTTTCGACTGTTCATTACTGTTGATTTTCAAAGAAACTTCACTTGAATCTTTACTCTTTTGCATTTTGTCTCTATAACACTGTTGGGAAGTTTTATCTCTAGCATTATAACATGATCTAGCCACCTGCCATATTTGTGGCAAACAATACCTAAAAATTCAGAAGCTCTTTTGTTGTCTTTCCACCAAATATAATTCTTTCTGTTCTCTGTGTGAGCATATCCTAGCATCCCTGTACACACCCTCATAGATGTCTACAAGCCTGTGAATTATTCTCCATAAATAAAAATGTATCTCAATTACCCTCAATGTTCATAATTCTGAGGGTGAGGAAGGTCTTTCTGGATCTGTTCAAACAAAAGGCCCAGAGATCCCCTGATAGGTAAGAAGTTCACGTGGCTCTGGATGTTGGGTCTGTCTCTTTCCCTCTGTTGTCCCACAGGTCAGCTCACTTGTTCAGCTCCTCAGGAGAGAGTCCAGGTTTATCCTGATTATACAACACTCCCAACTTCTGATGACTCTTCTGTTACCCACATCCATGGAGATAGAATGTTTACTATAGAATTCACCAAACTAATGTCAAATGCCCAAGTTGCAATACCGCACACCATAGGGTATGTTCATGCAAATCAATGGAGGAGAAAGTCTTTCAGAGACAGATGGATCTGAATTGGTAAATATGTAGGTAAGGACTCTGGACTTGAGTATAATTTTCCAGCCATGTTTCACAGGTATGACCTATCAGGGAAGGACCAGAGTTCCATGTGCTCTCAGAGAGGAGGGCTCACAGATGTCCTCTCTGGTTCCCAGGAAAGGTAATTGCACTAATCTTGGTGATGAGATAGAGTTTTTGTCTGAAGTTGTCACTGCAAACCCTAATCTACATATTTTCACAGAGAAGTGTTTACAGGCCAGGCCACATTCTCAGGGTCACACATTGAGAACGATGGAGACATGTGCCACCACCTTCTCCTGAGATCTCAGACAGAATCCCAAATTTCAAAAGGTCCCAGAAGAGCAGCTCTCAGATTTTTTTTCTCCTTAAATGATGCACTCTCTGGGACAGATATTTTCCCGCTACCCATGATGGATGTTCTGAATTGCAATAAAAATTGCATGGATTTAGATTTGTATGAACTCACTGTGATTAACATATTCAGCTGCGGCCCTAATATTTTTGAATGGAGATTTGACAATTTAGATAACCTGGCTGTTTGGTTGGTTTCATATAAATCTTCACGGGTAGAACAGCATTGAACCTATTCCAGAATCTGTCCCTGATCCATGATCACACTCATCTCACAGACCAGCTTCTTCAGTACATCTTCCTACCTGGAAGAAGACGAATCTGGGCTTGGCGAGGGGAGGCCCCAGGAAGACCACTGGGTTCTCAGAGGGCACAGCCAGCATCCTCCTCACAGTGTGAACCCAAAAGACTGGGGCCTCCCTCATCCCCTTTCACCTCTCCATACAAAGGCACCACCCACATGCAAATCCTCACTTAGGCACCCACAGGAAACCACCACACATTTCCTTAAATTCAGGGTCCTGCTCACATGGGAAATGCTCTCTGAGAGTTACGGACATCCTGTGCAAGAACATGAAGCACCTGTGGTTCTTCCTTCTCCTGGTGGCAGCTCCCAGATGTGAGTGTCTCGGGGATGCAGATATGACGATATGGGAGGCTGTCTCTGATCCCAGGGCTCACTGTGGGTCTCTCTGTTCACAGGGGTCCTGTCCCAGGTGCAGCTGCAGGAGTCGGGCCCAGGACTGGTGAAGCCTTCGGAGACCCTGTCCCTCACCTGCGCTGTCTCTGGTTACTCCATCAGCAGTGGTTATGACTGGAGCTGGATCCGCCAGCCCCCAGGGAAGGGACTGGAGTGGATTGGGTATATCTCTTATAGTGGGAGCACCAACTACAACCCCTCCCTCAAGAGTCGAGTCACCATTTCAAGAGACACGTCCAAGAACCAGTTCTCCCTGAAGCTGAGCTCTGTGACCGCCGCGGACACGGCCGTGTATTACTGTGCGAGAGACACAGTGAGGGGAGGTGAGTGTGAGCCCAGACACAAACCTCCCTGCAGGGAGGCGGAGGGGGCGGGCGCAGGTGCCGCTCAGGACCAGCAGGGGGCGCGCGGGGCCCACAGAGCAGGAGGCCGGGTCAGGAGCAGGTGCAGGGAGGGCGGGGCTTCCTCATCTGCTCAGTGCTCTCCCTCCTCACCAGCACCTCGGCTGTCCCCAGGGCTCCTCTTTCTTTATTATCTGTGGTTCTGCTTCCTCACATCCTTGTGTCAGGGAAGAACGGAGGAAGACAAATTTTCCTCTTATGGTCGAAGTTTCACCAATTACTGGGAACTTTCCTACAAGTTCCTGCAGGGCCCATTTTACCTCCTTTATTAAAAAATATATTCTAATGCTTCTCACCATCTCTTGATTTGTGTCGTCAGTTGAATTGTGCTCTCTTTGAAATTCATATGCTGAAACCTTAAATCCAATGGATCTATGTTAGAATTTTAAGGATACAATTAAGGCTAAATATGGTCATATGTGTGGGACCTTAATGCAATAGACCTATTGTCTTTATACGATGAGGAGGAGACACCAGAAACCTCTCACTTTTCATGTGCTCGCAGAAGAGAATCCATGTAGAGACGTAGTGCACTAGAAGGTTGCCCTGTGCAAGCCAGGAAGAAGCCGCACCAAGAACTGACCCTGCCAGCACCTTGATCTTCCACATTCAGACTGCAGAATTGTAAGAAAATCAATATTTGTTGTTTAAGCCACTCACTCCTGTTGTCTTATGAAGACCCAGACAGACTAATGCCACATAACTCTGTTAGCTCTATCTCCTTGAGGGAGGAGCAGCCCTGAGGCTGGGCACATCTCTCAGATTTCCACATAAAATTGGCAAATATACTAGTTCTCATATAAAAATGTGTCATGACCATATTGGCCATTTTTGGGCAAGATCTCTGAAACCAGCCCTGGTGTCTGTGCCACAAAAGTTGTCCTTTATCTTTCATTTGGATGTAACAAATGGACAAAGAGTACCAGCTGGATGGACACTGACAACTGACCATCTTCTGCTGTCTCTTAAATATGTCACAGGAAACCACACCAACATCACCAGCATCACTGTTTTCCTTCACCTTCATTGAACGAACTATAGAAATGATCCCTGAAAGTACAGACTATTGCTTCAACTTTCTAAAATGGGACTGAATCTCTTCCTAAATGAGGAGCTACATGGGGTCTGAGATTTGTTCCCTTCTTCCCAGTCTTCCCCAAGTACCAAGGGCAGAATAGACTTTTAGTGAAATTTGACTGTCACTGCCCCCAGCACCATATCACCACTTTCTAAAATCTGTATACTACATCCATTCTTTTGTGGGCACCCCACATCAGGCTACCCAGGAATGGCCAGGAGCTGGCATCACCTTCTGGGCTGAGTCCATGAGTTGTACGCACATGTGATTTCAGTTACACAGACTCTACTGCAGAACCACACCTGTGCTCTGAGGCGCTCAAGCACTTGCTGCTCTCAGTCGTTCGCTAATGGATCACACACCTGTTATTAATGAAGGTCCAGATGACCCCATCAGCTGCAGAGCAGTGGAGTAAATGAGCTCATAGGTGGATTGGTCAGGCAGAAGTCAGACAATGGGATGGGTAGGCTGGACCCTTCTATTGTCACTGAGGTTCCAATGGATTTTAATGGAATAAAACAATATTAACAACAAAGGGACAGAAAAGAATACTTGATCTTGAAAGTATTTAATGTTTAGGAACTTTATTTGGGGGGCTAGTGAAAGACACTTTTAAATGGAAAGCCCTGAAGCACATACAACAGCCGACAGTGCAGCCGCTGTTCACATGAGGGCTGAGGCGACAGATGATAGGGTCCGTTCCTCCAAGATGTTCCTGGGTGTGTAATGGTTGGACTCCTCATGCATATGAAAATAAGAGCCAGACTCAGGTAGAAATGAGGGCCATACCCCATAGGAAAGGAAGAAAAAAAACAGATGGGCATCCCTGGAGAGAGCTCATTAGATTTGGTGGTTTTAAGATGAAAATTTCTTCCAATGGTTTTATTGTTCTAAGCTAAATATAAATCTCTTCAATACACTGAGAATTAAAAGGAGGATGGAGCTAGAAATTGAGAGAGGAAACAAATCATGTGAGACCAGAAAGCAAATCCACAAAAAACTGTCACATGACAGAGGCCAGAATGGAGCTGATGCTGCTATATCATTATTCTGCAGACCAAGATGACCATGTAGGGAAGGGTCTTGAACAAATGGGGACATTCTCCAGCCTTCTGCATCAGCCTCCTTCTTAGGCATGAGTAGTAATCATGGTTCTGGGGGTGATCTTCCAAATTTTCCTGTCCATACCTCTTCCCGCAGGGGTAGAATGTCTTTTCCCAACCACAGTGGTTTCTCACCAGTGTCCTCAGCTTCTCCTCCATTGTACTTACACTGCAGATTAAGGATTTCATCTGGATGGAATTTCCTGGGAATCCTCTATTTTCGTTTGTTTCTGTTAACTCCACCACAGCAAATAGGACACAGGTTTTAGTTGATTTCCCCTGGAGATGGTGGAGGTGAATCCAGGTGTTCAACAGTCCTTACTGCTCTTCTCTTCCTGTCAACAGCACAGGACAGCAGATAAGGGAGTTGACTGTGAATTTTTCAAATTCCTGGGAAAAGCCTGCAAGGACCAGTAGTTTCACACTCTAACACCATTAGCACAAGCATCCAGGAAAAAAAAAAAAAACTCACTAAATATTTCCAGGCAAGCCCATTCCTCTCTTAGTGCCATCCCGTGGCACCTGCCCTGAGTTCACTAACATGTCGGCCCCAGTACTCTCTGCAGGCGTCTGTCTCCTCAGATTTCAGTCTTCCTGTTTGCTCTGTGAAACCAACTTAGATATGGTAAAGGTTTTTCTTCTTCCTTTATTCGCAGTTTTTCAGGTTTGTTGTTAATGAGAACAGAATAAGATCATGGTTTTCTCTTCGTTCACATTCCCACACTGAGTAGCTGTTTCTATATGAAAGACAGAAACTAAGAAAACAAATCAAATATCTGTATTCATTACATTGAATGTTAAACAATTTGACATATGATTATGAACTAAAGTACAATGCAGCACTAGAATCAAGGCATCTCTCATTCACATAAAAGCATCGTTACATTCACAAATACCTGCTGAGTGAAAGTAGCTGAAGAATTAAGAGAGCACTTCATAAACTACTATTTGTATAAACTTCAGAAGGTACAACTATTCTCAAGTAGCAAAGAAGATTTGAAATTGGTGAGAATTGGGTGTTGAAAGTAATGGGGTGGTGAGATGAAATTACAGGGAAGTGACAGAAAGATTTAGGGGTCAACTTGATTGTACACAACTTAACTGAAGCCCTGATCAAAGGGTTGCACACACACATTAACATTTTCCAAATTGTGCAGTATATGTTTGAATTAATGATTTATTAATTGTACTTAAAGCAGTAGCAAAGGAAAAAATGAGTATGTTGGTTGAGGAGGAGCAAAAAATAGATGGGTATGAACACTCAAAACGTCTCAGACTCTTGAAAATGCACATGCATGAACAGTGGTTCTCTCTAGATATTTTAGGAAAATAGCAGAATACAAAAAAAGAAAAGAGAGATGTCCTGGCAGGGGTGGAATCCTGCAGACCTCACTAGGCATGTCCCACACCGCCCTGGAGTTGTCTCAGGGGAGCAGTCTCCTCCAGGGGCCCAGAGGCACAGGCAGAGATAATGGGGTGAACTCTATCCAGCTGTGTGACCTGGAATGCATTGTACAACCACTCTGTTCTGTATGTAATTTATCTTCCTTAAAATATAACATTCACACTTGCATTAAATGTACTCTGTAAATATGTAAAAATGAAATAAGATGATGACTGCTAAATGATTATCAAGGCACAATCATATAATATAAAATGACGTTTTCCTGAGTGATAAGATTACTACCAATCTCCCCCAGGGCACTTTATCTGCTCTGAGCACTGACCCTCCTCAGGATTCCCATCCCAGAGCTTTCTATACAGTAGGAGACATGCAAATAGGTTTCTCCCTCTGCTGATGAAAACCAGCCCAGTCCAGACCCTGCAGCTCTGGGAGAGAAGCCCCAGCCCTGGGATTCCCAGGGGGTTTCCATTTGGCGAACAGGACTAAATACAGAGGACTCACCAGGGAGTTTGGGCTGAGCTGGGTTTTCACTGTCCTTGTTTTAAAAGGTGAACTAGAGAGATTGAGTGTGAGTGAAAAAATTTGAGAGAAATAGTGGATATGTCCGGCAGCTTCTGACCAGGATGTCTATGAGTTTGCAGGTGTCCAGTGTGAGGTACAGCTGGTGGAGTCTGGAGAGGACCCGAGACAACCTCGGGGGTCCCTAAGACTCTCCTGTGCAGACTCTGGATTAACCTTCAGTAGCTACTGAATGAACTCTGTTTCCCAGGCTCCAGGGAAGGGGCTGGAGTGAGTAGTAGATGTATAGTATGATGGTAATCAGATATGTTATGCACAATCTGTGAAGAGCACATTCACCGTCTCCAAAGAAAGTGCCAAAAGTCACTGTATTTGCAAATGAACAGTCTGAGAGCAGAGGGCGTGGCTGTGTATTACTGTATGTGAGGCACGAGGTAAGAAGACATCAGGGTGGACACAGACAAAGAATTTCCTGCAATGATATGGGAGGAGGCTGGGCTAAAGGGGGCACTCAGAACCCACAGAAAACTAGGGCAGGTGCAGATGGTCGTCACGGGCTGCTTTCCTTCAGGGTCTGTGGCTTCCTCTGCATGCAACAGTTTCCCTGTGAGCCTCTCTACATTTATGATTCTGTGGCCACCCCTGAGGTCTCTGGATTGGAAAAGTTTATTATAAGAAGAGGAAACATTCTCATTTGTCACCAAGGCACATGTAAGTAATGGAGGCATAAAAATGCACAGGAGCTGGGTGAGGCTCTAGACTCCGTCACCCAAGAATGCCCGTCTCTCAGCTAGTGCTGGAGATGGGTAGGAATTTGATGGAGCTTCCCTAACTACCTCGTGGTCTAAGTTAAGTCCAGAGAGGCCACTGGTGCCTCCCAGAGCACAGCTGGCCATCAGGAATCTCTCTCCCATGTGTCCCAGCAGCAGCCACGCCTCAGTATCTCCACTGTGCACAGCCATTGTCTGGGAGGAGCTCCCCGGATGGGTGTCTTTGGCACACACCAGGTGACGGGTGTCAGAGTGCAGTGCAGCAGCTGGCTGCCTGGTCTATTGGGCTCCCTGATGCTGGAGGGACAGGAGGTGCATTTTCAGGGCCAGCACCCTTTTTATGGATTTTTATATAAAAACCATGATTTTAAATCATTTTCTCAGATGACATAGATAACTAAGAACATAATCTGCAAAGAAATCGTAATTTTCAATGTTACCCCAAATGTATAGTTTCCTGATTCTGTGTAAGATCCAGACATATTATTGCCTTCCTCATGAGAAATTGTGCTAGTAAGTCTGAAATCAGTTTTTTCTCATATTCTTTGTTTTCTGCCCAAGTACAGAGATCTTGATTAAAGTAAGTTAGGTTCCTTCCACACACTAACGCTCACTTCCCGCAGAGAAAGAGCAGAGGTTGTACTCACTCTGAGTCTGAGGGAGGAGCTGTTCCTGTACAACTCAGAGCCTGAAGAGACCTCCAGGTGCAGCTTCAGAGTCAGGTATTTCTCCGTGTCAGTGACCTCCAATGCCTGTGATTGCTGCTCAGCTCTAATCGTGGGTTCAGAATTAGGACACCCTTTGTATGATCACATCTGAATCCTAATCTTAAAATCACAGTTATCATGGACAGAGATAGTTCAATGCCCATTCTCCTGACATCAGTTTCTCTTTATTATAGGGTTCCAAGTATGGAGAAAATGTGACAACATATTTGTGTGAATCTAACATCACAATCCACTGCATTGCTCTAGAAAACACAAAAATTGAACACAAGTAAGCTCTTCATTCTCATAAAAATGTGTGTATTTTGGGAATTTCAATGTGTTATCCAGAACTTGTACATGCAACCAACTGTGTTTCTCAGTGCAGGCTTGGCCTGGTGAAGCTCTCACAGACCCTCTCCATCACCTGCGCTGTCTCTGGATTCTCCATCATAAATAGTGCTTCCTGCTGGATCCATCAGCCCCCCGTGGGAGGTACTGGAGTGGATCAGGTGCATAGGTCGTGAAGGGAGCACGCATTACACCCCTCTCCTCAAGAGTCCAGTCACCAACCCCAGATCCATATCCATAAATCAGTTCTTCCAACAGCTGAGCGACGTGAGCAGCAAGCACATAGCCGTGCATTTTTAAGAAAAGACACAGTGAGGGAACCACTGTTCGAGCTCACACACAAACCTCCCTGTAGGGGTGCATAGGACAGCCGGGCTTGCTCAGGACCCCAGAGTCCCTCAGGAAACCAGGGGGCACTCAAGACCATTGTAGAGGCACTCAGGTCACCAGGGGCTCTCAAGAACCATCGAAGAAAAACAGGACACCAGAGGGTGCTCTGTACAGCAGGATGACTGTGGTCCTGGAGTAGTGAGCCTTAAGTCATCAGCAGTCGTGCACCAAAAAATAGTGTGACAACTTATTCTACATAGTAAGAATAAAAATAATGAATAAGAAAGAAGATAAGGGTTCAGTATGGGTGGACAACACCCAGGTCTACAGAAATGAGATGACTTTAAAAATATAAGCAAAGAATAATGAGAAAAAGAAGGAGGGGATGGGGAATTAGACAGGGTCCTGGTCTAATGTCTTGGGTAGAAGTTTCTCACAATCAAGGACTATCAGCTTATTCTGCAGGGCTTAGGTCAGCCATCTGCTTAAAAACATCAGAAATGCCAGAGGATCTATGAGGGTGCTCAGTTTAACATCTATTTGAGTAGCTTTACAGCTGTGTAGAATTCTTAATTGATTCTTTTTTGTTTGTTTTTAGGGACAGGCTCTCATTCTGTTGCACAAAGTATGGTTGTGTGATCATAGCTCACTGTAAATTTGAGCTCCTGACTCACATAACTTTTCCATCCTAGCTTCCTGAGTATCTCCAAGTAGATGGGCACGCCACCCCAACCCTCCTTATTTTTTAAACGTTTTTTCATAGAAATAGCATCTCTTTATGCTGCCCAGGCTGGCTGCGATTGCCAGGTCTCGTGGGGTTTCCCTCACTTTGCTTCTGAAAGTGGTGTGATTATAGGGATGATCCACTGCATCTGGCCTGCATTGAGTCTTTAGTTGTAAAATATGAACCCAATAATTAACTGCCTGAATGTTTTCTGAAGTGAATTAAAGTATCTGATAAGACTCCTTCTGATATGATTCAAGAGCAGTATTTTCTGCTGATATTCCTTCTAATTCCCTTGCTGAAGATCACAGGGGATTCTGAACAAAACGTAGTAAAAAGGCCGCCTTAAACTCTTCATTATTAGAGTGGCTATCACACAGGAATCACGTTCAGTATTTTGTAACACGTGCATGCAATAGAACAAACATGGTCTCGGGGTAGGGGGGCGGGTAGAGTCTATAAATGGATGGGCCTTTTAGCTGCCAAGTCATAGGGTAATAACTGATGCACCTTGAGGAGTGGACCATGATTCCACAGTACTAGTGGGAGAACCCTGGGCCAAGAAAGTTTTACATTTTATACAAATTGATAATTTTTACGTAGAGATGCCATTTTTTAAACATTCCCAGAAGTTTGTGAGTGGGATTGACTGTCTTGTATGAACAATGACAATGCCCTCCTTGATTAGATAATACTGTAAACCAGGCCGAGCTAGCGTGTTTGCTGTATTGAATCACTGTATATTTTTTAGCTCCATGTTAGCTTTTTGTTTGCCTGTTAGCGTTTGCTTGAACATGATATTTATCAGCTTGAAATTCTCTCAGCCCCGAAGAAGGGGCTAGATTTTCTTTTATACTTTGGATTAGAGAGGGGAGGGGGGATTCTAGCTGTAGTAATCTTACAGAAGTAAAACAGATAAAAAGTTAAAAAGACAAATGGTTACAGGAAAACAAACAATTCTGGGTGCAGGGGCTTTCAATTCATCACAAGGTGACAGGTGTGGGGGCTCTGAGGGACACAAACACAGGGGCTTTATGGTGCTATCTCTCTAGAGAATTCCTGGGAACTGTGGACATTGCTTGCCACAGTACCTGATCAGTGAATGGGACTCTGATGTGCTGAGAGTCAGCTTACACAAGTTAACTCCTTGAGGAAGGGCGTGGGTAAGGAGTCCTTGATGTCTTGCAAATGAAGGAGCCAAATGGAGTCTGTCAGGTTTTCACAGCTAAGGGAGAGTCTATTCATATTAAAACAAGGTTAGGTAGCTGAGGGAGAGTCTATTCAAGTTAAAACAAGGTTAGGTATTACAACTACTTTATCAGAGACAAAGACAACTTTAACAATTTTCACTGCAGACATGTCTAGGCAAGCCCCCTGTGCACAATGACCTTGGTGCGTTGGAGATTCTATGGGGACCCTCTCCTGGCTGCCTAGGAGAATACTCTGCCTCCTACCTCCATCATTTTCCTCTTTGAAGAAGGACATCTAACTGTCCTTAGAATACAGCCAAAGACCAATCTTAACTGCTTCCAGCTGATGGGGGATGCTGTTTGGGGAAGATCTCTCTTGGAGGCCTATCTAAGTGACCCCAGGAAAAGGGAGCCATTATCCCAGGCTTCAGTTGCATGACCATTTGGAATTTGATGGTTTGAAAATGAGAAGAGACAAATCGGGTTATTAGAAGACATGTATCAGAACCAAACAAGTTGGTAAAGAGTTTGAAAAACAATTCCAAAGCTGCTGACACGCCCAGATAACTGGTGACTGTAGTTATGCCTGCGAAATGTGGGTGCATGGGGCTTGGCTTTTTTGATAGCTCCCTGGGATTTATTTTCCCAAAGAAATCAGCAGGTTAGGGGCACCCTATTTATTCCCATCACCTGGATTGATTTGAAGGATAATTGCTTAGAATGAAAATATTGATCCAGATTTTTATATTCCCCACCGCTTTTTGTTTCTTCTGGGCTGTAGCCAGAGATCACTGACTGCCCCTCAGGAATAAGCAGAGTTACTCTAAAATGCAGGTAAATGCTTAAACAACTGAGGAGATTCGAGTTTAAAGACAAGTGTGTGATATGTTTTGAAATACAACGTTTCTCCTTCCAGTTTTGGTTTTTGTTACAAGCAAATAATAATAAGACTGAGTTGTTTGCAAAATAAACTTTAAACTTGGCCTGTTTATTTGCATGAAGTCCAGCAGGAATATTAATAATAATTCTGTAGAAAAATTCTTCAAGCACTAGCAGCTTCAAAGTCTAACACTAAGAGCATATGCATCCTCAAGCAACTCACTGAATATTTCCAAGCCAGCCTGTTCCAATCTTAGATACCATCCAGTGATATCTGCCCCAGGTACACTAATATATGGGTCCTGGTTCTCTCTGCAGCCTCCTCTCGCCTCAGATTTCAGGTTGTGTTTATTGTTTGCTTTCTCTCTGATTTCAACTCAGATATGTTGAAGATTTTTTTTTTATTTGTAGTTGTCCAGGTTTGTTGTTAATGAGGTCAGAATAAGAGCATAGTTTACTCATTTTTACATTCCCGTGGTTAGTAGCTGCTTTTCTCTATCAAATCCATTAACTGAGAGAACAAATCACATTTGGTTACAGGTGAATAATTAAATAGTTTGGCATATATTTATGTACTAGAATCTAATGCAGCTTGAAATCAAGGCATGCCTCACTCATATAAAAACGTGGCTAAATTCTCAAGTAATTGTGCTTAGTGAAAGAAACTAAGGAATTAAGAGTAAATTTTACATGACACATTTGTAGAAATTTTAGAAGTTGCCACTATTGTAAATTTACATGGAGAAGATTTCAGTTTTTCTGAGAATATGCTGTTAGGAGTAATGGGGATGTGAGTTGAATTTCAGAGAAATAAGAGAAAGATTTCAGGATTAATTTAATTATTCAAAACCTGGTTGAAGTGCTGAGTAAATGGTTGCAAACATAGGTCAACATTTTTCAAATCATTCACTATACATTTGAATTAATATTTATTAATTGCACTTGAATAAAGCAGTAACAAACTGATGAAATAATATTTGACTAAAATGGAGCAATAAATAGATCAACACTAACACAAAGAATATGACTGACTTATGAAAACATACACATGAAACGTGATTCACTCTACATATTTAGGTAAATTACGGAAAGTTGACATAACAGATGGGGAACCATGCAGACCTCACTAGGTGTGGGCCACACTGCCCTGCAGTTGTCTCAGGAGAGCAGCCTCCTCTGGTGAATAGAGCACAGTCCCAGATAATAGGACTAATGATTTTTTAGATGTGTAATCTTAAACATACTGCACAACTGCTGTTCTTTATGTAAATTATCTTCTATAAAATATAACATTGAAACCTGCATTAAATATATAGTGTAAATATGTAAGAATAAAATAAGATTATGAGAGCTAAATGTTAATCAATCCACAATCACATAATACAAAATTATATGTTCCTGAATGATATAATTATTCCATTCTCCCCCAGGACACTTCATCTGCACTGAGCCCTGCCCTCTCCTCCGATGTCCCAACCCAGAGCTTGCTATATAGTGGGGGATATGCAAATAGGGCCCTCCCTCTGCTGATGAAAACCAGCCCAGCCCTGACCTTGCAGCTCTGGGAGAGGAGCCCCAGCCCTGGAAGTCCATGGTGTTCCATTCGGTGATCAGCAGAGAACACAGAAAATTCACCATGGAGTTCGGGCTGAGCTGGGTTTTCCTTGTTGCTATTTTAAGAGGTGATTCATGGAGAAATAGAGAGATTGAGTGGGAGTGGACATGAATGAGAGAAACAGTGGATATGTGTGGCGGTTTCTGACCTTGGTGTCTCTCTGTTTGCAGGTGTCCAGTGTGAGGTGCAGCTGGTGGAGTCTGGAGGAGGCTTGGTACAGCCTGGGGAGTCCCTGAGACTCTCCTGTGCAGGCTCTGGATTCACCTTCAGTAGCTATGGCATGAGCTGGGTCCGCCAGGCTCCAGGGAAGGGGCTGGAGTGGGTGTCAGTTATATGGTATGATGGAAGTAAGAAATACTACGCAGACTCTGTGAAGGACCGATTCACCATCTCCAGAGACAATTCCAAGAACATGCTATATCTTCAAATGAACAACCTGAGAGTGGAGGACACGGCCGTGTATTACTGTGCGAAAGACACAGTGAGGGGAAGTCAGTGTGAGCCCAGACACAAACCTCCCTGCAGGAACGCTGGGGAAATCAGCGGCAGGGGGCGCTCAGAAGCCACTGATCAGAGTCAACCCAGAGGCCGGTGCAGACGGAGGCTGATTTCCTGTCAGGATGTTGGGACTTCATCTTCTGACAGTTCCCCAGGGAACCTCTCAAGTTTAGAAATCTGTGCCTAACAATGTCTTCTCTATGTATTTGAAAGAAATTATTTTAATATGGGGACCTATTCTCACCGGCACAAAATGCAGATTGACGCTTACAGGGATGAAAATTCTTCAACCACGGTCACCAGGATCAGAGTCCTGAGTAAGCTCAGGGCTTCCTAGTGAGTCTTCTCCAGTGAGACCCAGGACAGGGACCTCAGTGAGGTTCCCTGACTAGAACAGTCTTTACGGATCCTGGTCACAGACAATAGAGAGGTTGGGCCAGGGTCAGTGTCATGCAGAACCTCACAGGTTTCACGTCTGGCCCTTCTCCTGACACTGAAGTATGCAAATCAGCATCTGCACTGATCTGGTGCTTCTTTTGTCCCTAATCCATTTACTTTCTTTTGTAGTCCTTGTTCTCATTTTTCCATTTGCTTTTCCTGCTTTCTGGAAAAGGAAGATATTTTCCTTGTGGTCAAAATTCCAGGCCTCAAGCCCTTTCCTGGCGCTCAGGTGGGTCTCAGGCTGTGGCTGCCGCAGTCACGCGGGAGAGGCTGGTGGGACTTTCTTCACTCCTCCTCACTCAGGAGCGCTCAGGTGGGTCTCAGGCTGTGGCTGCCGCAGTCACGCGGGAGAGGCTGGTGGGACTTTCTTCACTCCTCCTCACTCAGGACCCTCCACTGTGTTGCATGGAGACTCATCTGGAAATACAGGTTGCCAGTGGGGACTGAAGGGGACAAGCTTGTTTGGTTAACGTGGGATACGAGTGTGTTTCTAATCCTGTTCTCAAAAACCTTCACACAGTAACGTTCTTCACTAGTGGTGTGAGGAAGAGGGTGTGAAAGTTGTCAGAATCAAAGTGGAGCCAGTTGTGTTATAATCTTTACAGGTGAAGCTGGAGAAGGTCATGAATAGAGGGTTCTCATGAACATATCCCTGATAAACAAGAATGGATATTGTGGGGTATCTGCCCTGCCAGTCCCTGTCCATCTTTAAACTGATTCCACCCTTTTTATTCTTCGATCCCAGGATAATTGTCTCAAAACAGCTCATGTAAGCCTCCTCGATTTTCTTTTAAAACACTTGTCTTCATTTGCCTGCTTAAATGTGCCCACGCATATTCCCATTGCAATGCTCATTTTCAAATAAACATTATTTGATTTTGGAGAATCTCTTTCTGTCTGATATTTAGGTGTGACAAGCTGCAGATGGACACGCCACTTTCCTGTGAGATGTAGGGGAAGTCAATTTTGGGGGATGGCTGGAAACATCCAATGTCCTCAGGGCCGGCCATCAGTAAGTGCAGGCTGGAAGTCGAAGAAACAGCTGAAGCTGCTTAATCACTATGGAGTTTGACCTTCTCCAGCTCTGCTCTGATGGAATCAGGGCCAAGCAGGTTAGCAATGATAATCTACCTAACACAGAGTCAACTGATTACGGTTTTAATAACCTCTATTACAAAATTCACAACACCACCTGGATTAGTGTTTGATCAAATAACTACAAAGCATTGTCCAGCCAAGTACACCACAAGACGGACCGTCACCCATAGAGGAAAACACTTAATATGAGTTCTAGGTTCTTACATTGTTAAAGGTGTAAAACGGATTATTTTTAAATGAGGCGATTTTTATTTTTGCTATTGAGTTGTAAAAGTTTCTTTTATATTTGAACATTTAAACTTTTTCAGATATATGGCATATTATCCAATTCTGTAAGTTGTAATTATTTTGTTGCTTTGCAGAATCTTTTTTGAAATCTATTCTTCCAGTTGTTCAATTCTGCTTTTTTTGTAGGGGCTTTGAATGTAAAATCCTGAAAAAGATTGCTAATTTTTAAAGGTTGGGAGTTTTACAATTGCAGGTATTACATTTAAATATTTAAAACATTTAGAGTGAATTTTTGTGTTTATTCTAACCTAAAATTCTTAATTCTTTTCATGTGAAAACCAGTTTTCATAACACCCTCTTTCAAAGACACTATAATTTAGTCATTTTATATTGATAGTTCGCATGCTGAAAATCAGTTTGTCATCAATATGTGGGTTTATATCGAATCTCTCTATATGCATTTATGCCAATATCTTTTGATGTTTGTAAATAAATGTTGAGGCCTGGAAGTGAAATGCTCAAGCTTTATTCTCGCCTTGTTACAGATATTAGACCAAAACATTTTAACCTTTTACTATTAAGCATAATAACAGCTGTGACTTTTCTTAATGGCTTTTATTATGTACAAGTTGTTTTCTTATCTTCCTACTTTGTTCAGAATTTTTATAATGAAACCCCGATTTTTTCAATTTTTTTTCTGTGTCTGATGAAATGTTACTGAGATATTTTTTCTTTAGTTTTTTAATGTGGTGTACCAAATTGATTGATTTGAGGATGTTGAATCAACTGTGCATCTCAGGAGTGAATCTGAGTTGCTCATGGTGTATGGTCTTTTAAAAGACTTTAGAATTTAGTTTACTATCGTTGGGGATTAAGTTATGTCTACTAATGATGTTGGTCTGTAGTTTTCTTTTATTGTGATGCCTTTGTCTATTACTGGTAAAACTATAATGGTATCCTCATAGAAAGAGTTTAGAAGGTATACTGCAGACTGCCTTTAAAATACATTTTATCAGCGGAGAGATGGTGATAGTTTTTTCCTCAGTTTTCTCTTGGGAAGAATTTTATGTTGCTTAAAAGATATTTAGAATGACTTAACATGGTTTATGGGCTTACATTATATTCCTTTTTTTGATTCTTTTTGAAGAACCACTTACCTTTCCTATTTAATTTTAGGTTTATTTTTATATTTGTGCAATATATTTTGAGGTGAAACTTGGTGGATTTTTTTTTCTAATAAGTTAGAAAAAATAAATCATTTAATTGACTATTTTCTTCAGGTTGATTTGTTGAATATTTGCGAAAGGCCAGTTCTTTAAGCTATGACACGTAACAAATCCCAAATGGCAGTACCTCATTGTTTACTTAGCTTTTGTACTTATATTTTTCAGAGGAAAAATCACGACTTTAAATTGTAAATAGCCAACACATAATTGTATTGTATGCATATCTGTGACTGTTTGCAGTGTTATCTCCGAGAAACAGATAAAGTTTCTTTAGCTATATAAAAAAAAGAGTTTGGAAGGTTGACCCCTCACAATTTTTGAAGGAGTTAGAGAAGGGCTGGCATTACTTCTTTAAATGTTAAGTCTCACTTTTTGATGTAACATGCAACATATCACAGAGAATGTTCAACGTGTGCCTGAGAAGGATGTGAATTATGTGGCTCTTGGTTGGAAGATTCTATACATGTCTTTCAGGTAAAATTGTTCAATAGTGTGTTCAAGTTCAGAGGCATGTTAAGAATTTTCTTTCTGGATTTGCTATACATTATGGTCATGAGGTATTAAGGTCTTCTCTTTTTTTTTTTATTATTGTTTTCTATTTCTCTATATCTCTCACAGTTTCCTTAATGCAGTTATATTTGTAGTTGTACACATGTGTAAAAACTAAAATCATAGTTGCTAAATGAGTTTTATGGCACAGTCAATTTATAAGTAATATTTTTCCAAATGCTACCATTGCCACTAAACAATGGCAGTCTGCCATCTGCTCTGGGCACTGCCTTCTTGTCAGGCATCCCACACCGGAGCTTACTATAGAGGAGGACGCATGAAAACAGGACTCTCCCTCTCCTGGTGAAAACAATTCCTGACCTGCAGCTCTGGGAGAACAGCCGCAGCCCTGGGATTCCCAGGGGTTTCCAATTGGTAATCAGGACTGAACACAGAGGACTCTATGGGGATTGAGCTAAGCTGAATTTTTCTTGTTGCTATTTTAAAGGGTGACTCATAGAGAAATAGAGTGAGTGAGAATGAGTGGATATGAGTGAGAGAAACAGTGGATATGTTTGGCAGTTTCTGACCAGGATGTGTGCGTATTTTCAGGTTTTCAGTGTGAGGTGCAGCTGATTCAGTCCATAGAGGACCTGAGACAACCTGGGAAGTTCCTGAGTCTCTCCTGTGTAGCCTCCAGATTCGCCTTCAGTAGCTACTGAATGAGCTGGGTTCACAAGACTCCAGGGAAGGGACTGGAGGGAGTAATAGATATAAATATGATGGAAGTCGGATATACCATGTAGACTCTGTGAAGGGCAGATTCTCGATCTCCAAAGACAATGCTATGAACTCGCTGTATCTGAAAATGAACAGTTGGAGAGCTGAGGACATGGCTCTCTATGGCTGTACATAAGGTCTCAGGTGAGCACACATCAGTGTGAGTCCAGACACAAAACTTCCTGCAAAAGAAGAAAGGAGTGTGGGCTGAAGGGGACACTCAGCACTCACAAACCAGGTGCAGCCCCAGGGCAGGTGCAGATGGAGGGAGGGCAAGGGCTGCTTTCCTTCAGGGTCTGTGGTTTCCTCCGCTTCTAACACTTCCCCTCTGAGCCCCTGTACATTTATTCTTTGTGCCCACCGTGAGTCCCTGGATTAGAAAACTAATTTAAAAGAGGAAATATTCTTATATGTCCCAAAAACAGAGGTAAATATTGGAGGCAGAAAAATGCACAGGCGGCCGGGTGAGGCTGTGGATACTGTCACCCCACAATGCCAGACTCACAACTAGTGCTGGAGAATGGTAGGAGTTTGATGGAGCTTCCCTAACAACCCTGCGGTCCAAGATAAATCCAGCAAGGCCATTGGTGCCTCCCTGAGCACAGCTGTCCATCAGGGATCTCCCATGTGTCCCAGCAGCAGCCATGCCTTAGTGCCTCCACCAAGCACCATCACTGCCTTGGAGGAGCTCCCAGGATGGGTGACTTTGGCACACACCAGGTGACGGGTGTTAGAGTGAAGTCCCACTGATGTTGGAGGGATTGGAGGTGCATTCTCAGGGCCAGCACACTGCGGATTTTTATACAAAAAACATGATTTTACTTCGTTTTCTCAGATAACATAGATAATTAATAACACAGTCCGCAAACAATTGTAATTTTCAACTTTACCCCAAATTCATTATTTCTTAATTCTGTGCAGGATCCAGACATGGCATTGCTCTTCTTATAAGAAATTGTTCAATCTAAACTGAAACCAGTTGTTTCTCATATGCTTTGCTTTCTCTCCATGTGCAGAGATCTTGATTAGAGTAACTTTGATATTTTCCACACACTCACCCTCACCTCCCCAGATAAAGACCAAAAATTGTCCTTACTCTGAGTCTGAGGGAGGAGCTGTTCCTGTAAAACTCAGGGCCTGCAGAGACCCCCAGGTGCAGCTTCACTGAGTCAGGTGTTTCACTCCCTGTGATTTCTGCTCACATCTAATTGTGGGCTAAGAATTAGGACACTCTAGGTTATCACAGGTCAATCCTATTCTAAAAATCATTATCGCACAGAGTGATAATAATTCAATGTTCATTTTTCTAACAGAAATTTGGTTGCAAGTTTGAGAAAAGAAATATGTGATAATTTTTTTTGAATTTAACCTCAAAATCTACTGAATTGTTCTAGGAGACTCACAAATTGGACAAAAGTGAGCTCTTTATTCTCAAAAAAATATGTGTATTTGGGAATTTCACCGTGTTGTCCAGAACCTGTTAACATCACCACCTATGTTTCTCAGAGCACTTTTGGCTTGAGACATCCTCACAGACCCTCTCCTTCACCTGCACTATCTCTGGATTCCCCATCATAACCAGTGCTTCCTGCTAGAATTATATCTGCTTGCCCCTAGAAGATGGGCAGAAGTGGATCAGATGCATGGGTTGTGAAGGGAGCACAAATTACAACCCACTTCTCAAGAGTCCATATCCATATTCAAGAAAAAATTTTTCTTACAGCTGAGCTCTGTGTTTAGTGAATACATAACTATGCATTTTTAAGCAAAAGAAACAATGAGGGGACTTCATTGTGAGCATAGACACAAACCTTCCTGCAGAGGTGCATAGGACCAGCAGGGGGAACTCGGGGAAACTCAGGGTCTTAGGATGATTGTTGGGACTTAGGATGAGCAGGATCAAGGCTCAACATCAGGGCAGGTGAAGCAGGGCAGAAAAGGGGCTGTAGATGTGGGTTGTTTTCACCATCATATTTCACCACCAGACACCCTCCACTACATCTCTTCTAATCTGTCTGAGTGTTTACATGATTAGAAAATGGCATTTATGTAAACACTAATATATACCCATATGGGGGTGCATCAAGTTGTCCTCTCCATCTTATGTGGACCTTGTCCATCAAGCACTAAGGCCCTGTATTTACTAGAGTACCTCATACGTTATGGTCTAAACATGTAAGGTTTCTTTTTTTCTTGGTCTCTCCTCCATTCTCTCTCTCTTTCACACAAAAACACAAGAACTGACACACACAGAGCTCCCCAACTTTAATTATCTGACGTATTGAAGCAAATTGATTAATGTGCAAATTTTCCACTTTGACTCCCATTAATGTTGTGGTAAAAATAAGAACCATGCGTTTCTCAGCTGGGCACTTCTCTAAGCTAAGTAGCAGCTTTATTTATTATAACCAGAGACCAAAAGTGATCCAAGTGTTAGCAGCTTAACTGGTAAACAAATTGTGCAAAATTCATTTACTGGAATAATACCCACTGTTACAATCAAGTACTGCTGGATACACTCAACACCATGCTTAAAATAACAAGTACCTGAATAAGTAAAATAAGGCAAACAAATACAAGTCCATACATATAATTCCAGTTCTATAATTTCTATAGAGTAAAAATGAATTTAAAGTTGCATAAAAAGATCCATAGTTGACTGTGGATGTGGTACAAGAAGAGAAGGTGTAGAAAGGAGAAACTGCAGGAGAATAAAAGGAAATTTCTAGGGTAATTGATTTTTTCTGTGTTAATAAAAGTGAGCATTATGTCAATATTTGTAAAATTGTACAATTTATGTAAAGATTATTTGCTAATTTCACCTCATTAAAATATTGCAAATTTTAAAATGTATAATTTGTTAGAAAAGGTGCTAGAGATGAATAAAATACATAAAAATTCAGAGACTCCTGAATATACACATGAATGAAACCTGGACTTCGCCATACTTTTAGGGAAACACTAGAATAAAAAAACATAATGACAGGATTTCAGTACATGAAGGGAGCTTCTCAAAACCCAGGAGGCACGTCCAACTGTGTCCTGGAGTTAACTCAGGAAGCAGGCATGTCCTTTGGAAGGAGCCATGACACTAAGCTCCCAGCATCTGTTGTAGATGACACCATGCAAATGCCAAGAGATCTCAACTAAAATTTAACGTGGATGTTGAGTCCAATTATGCAACACACTCACACCAAATGAGTATGGAAAGGTTAATTACCTACATCCTTTAGGTGTCTGCTGAGAGCAGGGCAGGCCTCTCATGAAGCTCCCAAATGGCTTGGTAGAGCAGGGAGGGAGACTGGCTGAGGGTTTTTATCATGGTTTGTTGGTGGGCTGGGGAGAGCATCCTACTTGCAGGAAGGGTTTTGTGGGGTTTCAAGGTTCAAATGGCATCAAATGAGGGAGCTCCTGTGATTTCTAACTAGATTTACCTTGTGTGCTTAAAAAAAAGCAAATGATGGAGGAAAGAGATTTGAATTTATCAGCAGTCAGGCACAAAAATAAGAGTCTGATGACATGCTCTAGCAAGTATAAAAATGGTGAGTAAGAAAAGAGACAAGAGTCCAATATGGGCGAACAAACAGGTCTGCAGAAAATGGGAAGATTGTTTTGTTTTGTTTTGTTTTGTTTTTTGAGACGGAGTCTTGCTGTGTCTCCCAGACTGGAGTGCAGTGGCACGATCTCGGCTCACTGCAAGCTGCACCTCCTGGGTTCACGCCATTCTCCTGCCTCAGCCTCCCAAGTAGCTGGGACTACAGGCGCCCGCCACCATGCCCGGCTAATTTTTTGTATTTTTAGTAGAGACGGGGTTTCACCGTGTTAGCCAGGATGGTCTCGATCTCCTGACCTTGTGATCCACCCGCCTCGGCCTCCCAAAGTGCTGCGATTACAGGCGTGAGCCACCACGCCTGGCCGCGAAGATTGTTTATAAGCAAAGAATAATGAGTAGGAGGAGGATGTAGAGAAGGATTCTGGTTCAACGTCTTGTGTGAAAGCTTCTCATGATTCAAGATCATCAGTTTATTCTGAAGGTCTTAGGTCAACTGTCTTCTTCAAAGTATCAGAAGTGCCAGAGGATATGTGAGGATGCACAGTTTAACTTCCTCTAGTTGAGTAGCTTTACAATTGTGTAAAATTTTTAATTAATTCTTTTTGTTTGTTTGTTTTTGAGACAGGATCTCGCTCTGTTTCACAGGTTGGACTGCAGTGGTGTGATCATAGTTCACTGTGATTTTAAATTTCTGGCTTGTAGAATCCTCCCACCTCAGCCTGCTGAGTAGCAAGTTGCTATGTTTAGAGGGCCTTCATCTACACCCATCTGATTATTTTTATTCATTTTCTCATAGAAACTAGGTCTGCCTATGTTGCCCAAGCTGCTTTTGAACACCTTGTCTCATGCAATTCTGCAGGCTTGGCCCCTCAAAGTGTTGGGATTACAAGTTTGAGCCACCTCATCTAGCCTGAATTGATTTTTTGATGTAAAATATGAACCCAATAATTGATTCCCTGGATTTCTTCTGCAGTGTTTTGGTTAAAAGTACGTTAACAGACTCCTTCCAATGTGGTTGAAGAACAGTATTTTTTCTGAATGTTTCTTCCAATAGACATGATTTCCTGGTTGAAGGTCACAAGAAACAGTTAAAAAGTTATAGTAAAAAGGCAGCCTTAAACTGTTGGTGATTGCAGTGTGTATGGTACAAGAATGACTTTTAATAATTTGTAACACATGCATGCAGCAGGAAAAAGGTGAGTGATGAGGGTCAAATCTCTGCATGTATGGGTCTCCTAGCTACCAATTCATAGGGTAATAACTGACATTCCCTGAGGAGTGAACCACGATGCCACACGTGCTAGCAGGAGAACACTTGGCCAAGGAAGTTCAACATTTTATTACAGTTTTTATAATTTCTATTTAAAAATGTTATTTTTTTCAACCTTT